TCCCCACTACGCCTGGTTGGAGGCGCTGCAAGACATGGCTGCTAGTCGATTTCAATGGCGTTCTTGTTGTCAGTTTCTATCCAACTGCGTTCGTAAATCTTAGGTCAAAAGGCCTCACTTAAGACCTTCTTTCGATTTGTTGCACTCTACATTACGTGGCACATACGTCCAGTAATTTGTACCAGGTGTACCTGAATATATATATATATCTTGAAGCTCACAGGTCATGGATTGGAGCGCCGCTGTATGACGACGAAGATTCTGTTTACAACGGAAGTCAAACTAACCCCTCTGTTATTACGACATTCACTGCAAGCACTTCTTTTGAAAATGGGCGCTACTATTGACTCATCCCAGTTGTTTGAAACGGTCTCTTTCTCCAAGATAGACCTGAATAGGCTAGACAGAGACTGACTGAAGAATTCACCGTCGTCCCTGAACAGAGCAGATGAAAGTCGTCATGACCAGCAGCACGATGACGCTTAAGTGGAGGCACACACTCGGACACTTTTGAGGTTGAACGGAGTTCCATATTCACAGCCTACTTGCTGAAGGCTACGAATCCGGACTTGAGGTAACAGGTAGCCAAATGAATTGTTCGAATTACTCTACCCAACGGTTCAAACGTTCTCCATTGCTGGAGAGCCATTCTGATCCCTGATAATTTTGCTGACAACAGGCTTCCAGACGAATCAAATGGAACAGCCTGCCGGCGTCTCTAGCGTTTTCCTCATCTTCCATTTATTCGGCCTTTCGGGTCTACCAAGTTTGCACGGATACCGGGTTTCGCCTGGCGTCGGGTTCAGTTGTGGCTAATTCTAGGGGAATCTGTCACCGGGCCTCCAGCAAAGACGTGGCCCTATCAGAGACCCAATGTTCAGATGAATTTGGGTGGGTTGCACCGCAAACAGAAGTTCCAGCTTTGAGTGAAGCTTCAGATATTCGTTGCCAAAAACCGTCGATATCTTATATTGGACTGTCCGGTACTGGGTTACGTAGCCGGTTCTAAAAGTTCCGTTTGATTTCTGGGTCTACCAGCTTCTCGGTGTGTAATCGAGTGAGGGCGTTTTGAGTGGATCTGAAAGGCACAATGAAGAACAGCAACGAAGAAGTGCGTGGTCGGAGTCTACGCTGTTATTCCAGAAGGAGCGGCAACAAGTGATCGGTCTTGACCACCGGTAAATGATGGGATGCGGTCTATCTTGGTTTAAGGTTGGGTATTGGCAACCACTACGTTGTAAAGTGATTCCCGCTGTTCCGGAAATCGGTATTGCAAAGAAGCCGTCTGTAATCCACACACATTTGAAGCATGCGCTCTCCGTTGTTCGTACGTCTCGTGTCCAACACAGAGGACAGTTCAATCGGGCGTCGACCGTGCTTAGTCTACCTACATGAGCGTTCATGTCACCAGCTTTTAGCCCGTTGTAAAAGAGCACCTAGATTGTCGTCGAAACTGTCTTTGGCAGATTCGGAGCTACAGCCAGTTGGGGCGTAAGGAGACAATAAATGGTGCGATGGAACTTACCTACTCGAGAGTCTTTTAAAAGCGTTGTAAGGGCGACTATCAATAGGGACACTACCGCTCGATCGCTCAGTATAATAGGCCCGTCTGTAAAATGATAATAATAATCGTTTGCTGTAGCGTCCTTTCGGTGCCTAGCTGCGGCCTATATATCCAGCTTCAGAAGTCTCCGCATCACCATAGGTGCGCAGCCCGGACCCGAAGGAGAGCGAGGGGACAGTCAGGTTTGTTACATTAATTGCCTCCTATATCCTCGTTTCCGAAAGACAGCACACATCAATGTAGACGGAATCCAGCGTATGGACAAGTGCCACTTGTTGTTCTGCTTGCTTCAGTGTACGAAAGTTGAGGGCAGCTAGGCAGACCGGCTTTTGGGGTTTGGAAACAGATTTCCAAGTGTTTAGGGTTGTTACATATACACACAAGCTACAGCTGTCATCAACATCATCAAAGACAGCAATATCAGTGTTGGTATCGATGCTTTACTGCTTCACGGCTGTGTGATGCACGGCGAACGAATAGTTCAGCACTAAGGCTGGGACCCGTGGAGAGAGTATTCAAATTGGGGTGGGGTAGGGTAGAAGAGGGAATACGTGAGTGTAAGAAGGGCGGGGTCAGCAGTAGCATGTTTTAACTTGCCCCCTGCTCTATTTGGCAAGCAAGGCGACCCGGATGGTGATAGCACGCTACAGCTGAAGTATTACGAGGTTATTTACAGTTGTGTGCATCATGGTTGTACTTGGGCTGGGGGATTGCGAGGGCGCCCAGACTTAGGCAGGAGGACGATTAGGGTCATCGATCAAAGCCTTCGGCTCACATGCCTTACTGCAAGGCAGTGGCGTTTGGTGGGAAATGCAAGTATATTGGTATTTTTATAGAACGTCACCACACATTTTCTCACTCCCAATCTGGAGGGTGGGGAGACTCTTGGTCAGACCTCTAACCGTTGACCAAACCGGTATAAGAGGCTCTGTGAGTGCCGCACGGACAATACGCAGTTACTGAGACACGGATCGCCACTCCACGGTAAGGTCCAATTTTTTCGTAACGGTGCATGATCATTAGGATCATTTGTGCAATGTC